ACGCTGAAGAGCAAAGTGCGCAGAAGTTGCCAACTATCTGCAGAGTCAATAGCTAAAGACCTCCAAATTTTGTGTAGCCTTCAGATTAGCACAACAGTGTGTAGATAGCTTCATGGAATGGGTTTTCATAGCTGAGCAGATGCAACCAAGCCTTACATCACCAAGTGCAATGCAAAGTGTCGGATGCAGTGGTGTAAAGCATGCCCCCACTGGACTCTAGTGCAGTGTAGACATGTTCACTGTGTGACCAACCACGCTTCTCTGTCTGGCAAACCGATGGATGTGTCTCGGTTTGGTGGTTGCCAGGTGAACAATACTTGCTTGACTGCATTGTGCCAAGTGTAAAGTATGGTGTGGGGTTGTTTTTCAGGGACTGGGCTTCTTAGTTTCAGTGAAGGGAACTCTTAAGGCATCAGAATACCAAGACATTTTGGACAATTTCATGCTCCCAACTTGTGGGAACAGTTTGGGGATGGCCCCTTCTTATCCCAACATGACTGCACACCAGTGCACAAAGCAAGGTCCATAAAGACATGGATGAGCAAGTTTGGGGTGGAGGAACTTGACTGGCCTGCACCTCAACCCCATAGACACACTCCTAAACCTTGTGGACACAGCCTTCCCAGAAGAGTTAAAGCTGTTATAGCTGCAAAGGGTGGGCCAACTCAATATTGAAGAGGTGAGTGGGGGAAGTGAACGCTAAGACGCATCTACCCTATGTGCATTTGCGGATGGACCATCTGCAATGGGGGTTAGTAGAAGGTCCATATGGAGGTAGTGTCCAAGTCCATCTGTAGTAGTATGGACTTGTCCGAGGAGGCAGCCGGCTTGTAGATACTCCCAATGCAGGTAGAGAAGAGAGACAGCAGATTTAATGGTAAAATTGCACTCACATAGCTTATCAGAATGGCCAAGAAAGTTTAAAAAAAAAAAAAAAAATACTCTAAAATATGTAAATATGCACAACTAATGTTTTGTCAGTTTTAGAACTGTTAGCAAAACTATGTTTTATCATGCTGGACTTGCAGTGCTATAAACACAACTAGGTAAAAAGGTATCATTTAGAAGACAGCTGCAAGCCGTAGGTACCGTTCCAAGCCTATATAAATTAACAAGAATACTGGCTGCAAATTGCAAGGCTCTCAAAGGATCCATTCTACATATATACTTTATTGCCAAAAGTATTGGAACATCTGCCTTTACACACACATGAACTTTAGTGGCATTCCAGTCTTAGTCTGTAGGGTTCAGTATTGAGTTGGCCCACCCTCTGCAGCTATAACAGCTGCAACTCAGCTGGGAAGGCTATCCACAAGGTTTAGGAGTGTGTCTATAGGAATGTTTGACCATTCTTCCAGAAGTGCATTTGTGAGGGCAGGCACAGATATCGGACGAGAAGCCTGGTTTGCATTCTCCACTCTAATTCATCCCAAAGGTGTTCTATCAAGTTGAGGTCAGGACTCTGTGCATGGCAGTCAATTTCTAACACCCCAAACTTGCTCATCCATGTCTTTATGGACCTTTCTTTGTGCACTGGTGCACAGTCATGTTGGAACATGGAAGGGCCATCCCCAAAATGTTCCCACAAAGTTGGGAGCATGAAATTGTCCAAAATGTCTTTGTATGCTGACGCCTTAAGAGTTCCCTTCACTGGAATTAACCTCCCTGGAGGTATTCCCGAGTGTAGCTCGGGGTAAAATTTCAGCACCACAAGCAGTAACCCCGAGCTACACTCAGGAATACCTTGCAACGCTGCTCTGGGATCTCTTCTTCACTTACCTTGTCCTTTGCTCCCGCGATGTCCCTCCTGCAGTGTCCCCTGCAATGTCCTCAGGCCAATGCCGGCATCCGTCTTCTGGGTTCTGTTCCCTGCGACGTCAGGACGTACAGGGATGGAATGGCGGGAAATTTAAAAATGTGAAAAAGTGACATTCACTAAATACACTAAAATCACATAGTAAAACATTACTGTATCAAAGCATTTCACATACATTTTGTCCCTAGTGCTTTGTCCTGCGCCCTGCCTGCATTTTTACCATTCTGCCTGGAAACTGAGAAATGTCCACGGTGTCCAAAAAGCATCCCTTTATGTCAAAAGCGGTTTTAGACCAGCTAGAGAACAGCAATAGTAAATAAGAACCACTTGCAGAATTGAGTGATAATTATTCGTGGGGAAATTCGTCATCAGACACTGAAAACGATTTTGCGACTTTGCTCAGTGATGTGCGAACTTGGCGCTCTATTTCAAATTGCAGTGTTTTTGGTTTGATTATATTATTGAATTAAATTATTATGTTTTATGATTATTTATTAAATTATAATTTATGATTTCGTGTTTCAAATTTTAACACACCCGGGATGTTTACTCGACTCTTGGAAAGATTTCAGTGCCTTATTCCAAAGAATTACAGGCCTACAATAAAAAAATACATATTTCCATGCAAACAAATGTACCGCTTTGAGCACAGAAATACTGACATAATACGACCGCTAGGGAGGCTACGGGGCCAAGCCCAGCCCCAGAAAATCAACCCCACAACATAATCCCCCCTCCACCAAACTTTACAGGCACTTTCCGTTCATGGCAACTGCCAAACCCAGACACATTCATTGGATTGCCAGACACAGAAGCGTGATTCATCACTCCAGAGAGCATGTCTCCACTGCTCTAGAGTCCAGTGGCGGCGTGCTTTGCACCACTGCATCCGACAGTTGGTGACTTCTGCACACTTTAGCATGCGCTGACCCGGCTCTGTCATTTTACGTGGCCTACCACTTAGTGGCCGAGTACTGTTATTCCCAGTTGCTTTTACTTCGTTATAATTCCAACAGTTAACCATGTAATATTTAGTAGTAATTAAATTTCACGGATGGACTTTATGCACAGATGGTAACCTATCATGATACCATGCTTGAATTCACTGAGCTCCTGAAAGAGACCCATTCTTTTACAAAATGTTTGAAAAAGAAGTCTGCATGCTTGATTTTATACACCTGTGGTCATGGAGGGGAGTGGAACACTTAAATCAAATGATTTGGAGGGGTGTCCCAATACTTTTGGCAATATAGTGTATATTCTAATGCCTGGTACACATGAGGAGATAAAAACCACACATTTGAAGTGATTGTTCTATAATCTATTCTTTAGTCCACAGCTTTCAAGAGCCAATCACAACAGTTCATGTGAAAATATCTGAAGGGACAAGCACGAAAAAACTTCTCATAAGACAACGGAACAAACAATATTTATTTAATCAGTATTGCATTTTTTCATAATCCTTTCAGAATTGAGTGACCAAGACCACGCATGTTCGGAAACAAGAGAACAACCAGGAAGGAAAAAATGGCAATGAAAACAATCTTTTTATACAACAAAAATGTTCGCAAAGAAAACATTGTTTTCAGGACAGAAATAATGGAATGATGATCTTAATGCAACACAATTTTGATTATAATATGCAGATATTATAAAATATATAAACTCAGTAAATATTTTTTTATATTATAAATGTTGACATCACTTTCAATTGCACACTGGTACATAGCCACGCAAACAGGAAGTTGTACTGGATCGTACAAGAATTTTTGTAGACATAGCAAGACTCTCGTATTGAACATGAGATTAGCATGCAAAAAAACCCAAACAATAATTCATTTGATTTTCTCATCATGTGTACCAGGTATAAAAATGAAGAAAATAGAGTGGCACTAGTGCTAAATCCAAAATGTTAATAGTTTGTTCAAAAGCTAAAACACATACCTCACCAGATGCAGACTCTGGAGCATTTTTGTAATTCTGCGACTTTTAATTCTGAGAAAGCCCAATTATGAGTGAAACATGTCAGAGGTGGAGCCTGTGTCTGACAGGAGATAGCAGTAGTGTGCCATTTTCTTAATTCTAGAATCAAGTATGCTAGGGTGTACGGTTAGGAATATACAAAGATACAAACCAGAAAATATTTTGAGTTGCAACAGCATTTCTACAGCACCAACCTGCACAAAATATTTGGAGAATCCATTTCTAAGTGTATAAAGATGTGTCCCACAACTGAGCCCAAGCTAGCAACGCCAGCATGACAGTGGAACAAGGATTGTCCACAATGTGGTCACAAAGAGCAATAATGATTTTTCAGATTTAACTGTACCTCATTCTGTTATATTTTGGGGGTCTCCAAGTGCCTATACTTAATGGGTACTTAACAGGGAAGATTTTCCTTCCAAGGATCTCTAACTGCACACTCCTGGGTGTGTGAGCAGTAACAAAATCATGAAAGAAGGTGGAGGAGCGTGGCGATGGATGTGTGGACTTGCAGAGAGCGGCGGTGGTGGTGATGTATAGATGGTCAGAGGTTCTACCCAGGACTCTGTGTAAGTGTGATCCCCTCAATGTGTCTACTGTGAGTATGTCTATGGGAGACAGTGTGGAGCAAACAGAGGTGTATTGAAGGAGGAGCCACTCTAAAGGAACTTGATGTGAGCGTTGTTTGCTAGTCAGGAAATGAGAGGAAAATACAATTAGTGAGTTGTGAGTCTTATGGGGAGTGGAAATCATGTTATGCACAGTGCAGGTGAAAGTATTCTGAAGACCAAGACTGGTTTTTGGATTGGAGTACTTGAAGACCTTTTGGATTAATGCATGGGACATTTATGAATGTTTAGTTGTCATCACAGTGGTAGACTTTTGCTTTACACAGTTATCACTGACTGAATAGTGTTTGGAAGGTTAAGTATAATTTCGGCTAGTGAAACGCTACCAAGGGCTGAGTTTTATTTTGCCGTTTTAGGTTTATGAAAAACAACATTTTATACAAAACTATTACAGAGGTATTTTAGTGCTCAAGTACATTTCTAAGATATACAGTAAAAGATGCAAAACAGATTACGTGGCCAACTGTGTTTATGCATCTGGTTGCCTGTACAGTTCAACACAATGTTTTACACCCAATTTCTAAACTCCAACACATCAGTACACTTCTTCTTAACATAAAAATTCTACATACCTTCACCCCATGTCCAGTGTCATCAAGGATTGTGTAGTCGATAGGTTTACGTATATAACGGACTGGTCTCTCCAAATTCGCTGGAGCAATTATTTTGTGCGTCCTAGAAGTATTTTTGTTTGTTGTCAAGATTCCAATCTCCCTTCTTGCAACTTTCTCTTTATGAATATCCACTGTCTAGAAATTACAGTAATGTTATCATAAAACTCAAAGTATAAGAAACGTTTCATGGATTTTTGATGAGCTTTTACTAACCATAATTATGAAGGCAAGCTTTAATACCTACCATTTGTAACAAATACTATGGTAAACACATGTCAGCTAACTCAAACAGCACAATCTAACACAGCTTTTCTAAACCTTTTTTTTTTTTAGTCAAGACACCTTTTAGTGTCCATGCACACTTGGCTTAAAAATGCTGCTTCTACAGGAGTTTTGTGTTTTTCCTGTAGAAGCAGCTCCATGTTATCCTGTGTCTATGCACATTAGGACGTTTAGAGGCATATTTTAAGCTCAGAGGCAGAAAAAACCCTTCTGGTTTGCATTTTAAGAAGAGGAGTGTTCTGGCAGGGGAAAAAAAAAAAACAAAAAAAAAAAAAACCTAAAACCCGCGTGTACAAAAGACGCTCTGTACGAGCATTTTTTCTGTCAAAAGAACTGGCATTTTTTTTAAAGCCTACTGTGCATCGAACCTTAAAAGTATGCAAAATCTCAAGGCACCCCAGATGAATTACACCTTTTTTCCATGACCAATTACTTTCATTTGGTGGCATTAAATAATGTATATCTCCTGATTTTTTTTTTATTATAGAAAAACTAGCCCAAAATGGTAAAAAATATATATACTGAATATTTAAAAAAAAAAAAAAAAAAAAAAAAAAAAACTTTAGCTGTATATATTATGCCATTACAATGATCCTTCATGTAATGTGCAGAAGAATGCCACGTGTGCTTTTTTCTTTTCCTACGTGACAGTGACACGAAGCATACCTAAAACACATCATTACGAACACTAAACTATATCAAGCCAGGATCTATTTTTTTTTCCCCCAAACACTTTTTTGTTTACACAGACTTCTCCTTCAGCTACTAGCCATCATAATGATCATGAGCCAGTTTTACCAGCTCTCTCAATCGTTACTCTGTGACCAGGAGCTATCCACACAAGGGGGGTGCGTGATTGAGTGTTCGGTCAGCACAAACCTATGCCGCACATAAGAACAAAACACAAGAAAGTCCACATTTCTGATGCTGCATATATGCCTTACACCGTCAGGAGTGCTATGGCAAGACCACTTACTGTTATTAAGTGTTCTTGCAAAGAACACTTATTGTTTTCTCACAAATATATTCTTATCTCACATATATATTCTTATTATAGCCAAATTTACCACGCTAACTCCTCCCACAATTTTTACACTACATACATAGTAATACACCGAAACGTGCGGATTGTTCCCGATTGGTGTGCTATTACTTTGTGGAACGTTTTGCCAAATGGCTCACGAAATATTGGGAGCTGACAAAAGCTAGAGTGTGAGCTAAAAAAGCAGGACATGATTTCTAAACTGCCACCATTCCCTCATTTTCAAGCGCACCTACACAAATCTTATATCAAAATGTTCAGCTACCCCTGCTGCCACTAAAAACGTCCGGCTAAGCCATAGCCCTGATAGTTTCACAATATGACCATTTGTTTGCAACTCGCGCCCAGTGACCTTTTCACAGTTACTCCAGACACTCCAACCACACAACAGTTACTCCAGCCACTCCACCCAGTTACTCCGCCCACTCTAGTTGTAGACTACTGATGGAAGCAAGAACACTTCACACAATTTCCCCAGAAATTGTAGCTTTTCTAGTATTATATTACAGTCCTGTCTGAAAAGCCACAAAACAGTGCTGTAGGTCTTCTAAAATTTAATTCCTGCAAATAAAAATTTTGATCTCGGATTCAAAATCTGATTCAGATTCAAACTCTATATTTTTTTTTTTTTTTTTTAACCACTAGCATACTGGGCACTTATACCCCCTTCCTGCCTAGGCCAATTTCCAGCTTTCAGCGCTGTCGCACTTTGAATGACAATTGCACGGTCATGCAACACTGTACCCATATGAACTTTTTATCAGCTTTCTTTTGGTGGTATTTAATCACCCCTGGGTTTTTTATTTTTTCTTAAACCAAAAACCACTGAAAATTTTGAAAAAAAGTTTTCTTAGTTTTTGTTCAAATTTTGTAAATAAGTGATTTTTCTCCTTCATTGATGTGCGCTAATGAGGCTGCAGTGATGGGTACTGATAGGCGGCACTGATGGGCATTGACAGGCATCACTGATTGGCACTGAAAGGCAGCACTGATAGGCGGCACTAACCGGCATTTTCCGTGTTTACATGTGATCAGCTGTGATTGGACACAGCTGATCACACGACCGATCCGACATCTTTGGCTCTTTCCGTGATCGGTGATCCGCTGTGTCCGAGGACACAGCGGACCGCCGATCGCCACGCTGCGCGCTCCCTGAGCCGCGCATGCGCGGTGAGCATGGGAGGAAGTCATATGACGTCCTCTCAGAACGAGAGAACCACCTTGCGCCTGTCATTGGACTATATGGCGGGCGGGAGGTGGTTAATCTATCTATACAGGGGTACACAATATATTATATCGACCGTCATTAAGGTGCCAGGGCAGGTGGATTTTTTTTGTTAAGTCCTGCAGTGGGGCAAGCAAATTTTTTTTGTCTTCTTGACCCCAAACCCACCTGCACCTGCCCTACCCCACATGTATCCCGGGCTCCACTTGCCCATCTGTGGGCCCGGGATAGTTTATATAACAAGTGCCGACAGTAGAGGAGAAGGAGTTGAGCGGACACACGTGATCGAGGGAAAAAAAATGTAAGTAAAAATTTTTTTTTTTTTAATTGGAAAAAAAAAAAAAAAAAAAAAAAAGTTACACCCAAGCACATATCCCCCTCCTCCCCAAAAGTTTTCAGCCCCCCCCCCCCCCCAACATACACGCACATACGAATGTACCGACACATGACAATGTCAATTGCAATACACGTTACACATCGCCGCGCCCGCCACAATAAGAGCAATAATTCTAGCACTAGACCTCCTCCGTAACACTAAACTGATTGATGACCTATAAGGGGTATTAAAAGTGTTGCTTAAAAAAAAAAATATATAGGGTACTAACATTTGTTGCCATTTCTCAAGTGTACGCAAATTTAAGGTTTGCCATGTTGTGTATCTATTTACTCGGTGCAACCTCATTTTATATTCTACCAAAAATGGGTAATTTATTAACCAATATTAACTTAAGTATTTTTTACTGAAATCTTGCATTTAGTAGATCTTTGTGGTAATATCATGTGGCATAAAAAAAAACTGGAACTACCAATATTTTATTCTCAAGGGCGTCTGATTTCAGAAATTATATATTGTTTTGGGGGTTTTGTGTAATCTTCAGGCCTAAAATAATTTTTTTCAAACGTGTGCAAAAAAAAAACGCAAAACCGGCTCTGGCAGCAAAAGGGATAAGGGATAAGCTCACCTTCGGGTGAAACATATAACATGTTCCCACTCCTGCAGTGACTTGGCGATATGAGCCCTCTATGTGACAGCAGTATGGGGAGAAGTTCCCCGTACGAGCTGTCACTTTTTGAAAAGAGCGCAGCTGTGCGGGGCTTCGCCAACATGGCTGCATCATCCATTCACAGGGTTCTGTGAATGAAATCAACATTTATTTGCGAATGACAGCTTGTAGCTCTCAATGAACTACTACGGTGCTGTGGAGCGCTCTGGTAGTTCATTCATTCTTCCCGTCAGTGTGAAACTGCCTGCCTGTATGATGTACTGACAAATTTTGCCCACATACAGTACAAAGAGTACCTTTTATAGAAAAAGCTCCAAAAATACATCTGTTATAAAAAAAAAAAAAAAAAAATGATTTTGTCCAGTCCGGCAATATGTGACAATAGTGTTACAAATATGGTCTCTTCTTACCTGTGATATATGATTGATGGAAGATTCCATTCTTCTGAGCTGGGAAGCCTGAATATCCAGCATCTGAAGGACATTGTTGGCTAAGGTGTTAATGAGATAAGCCACACTAGCTAAGGACTGTGTCGTATAGGCTTTGGTTTCTTCAAGCGCTCTTTGTTTATCTGCAGACTGAAAATAAGAAAGTCAAATAAGTTGTCATATTTACAAAATGTTATTAACCTGCTTGTCTGACCTACTGAGCAAACGCAAGGGGCACTCCACCACTACAGTCTTATATGGCTTTGTTTAAACCAGCAATAGACTAGACACAGAATAATAATAAATTTAATGGACTTAAAGTGGCAACAATTTGTGCAATGCTTTACAACAGCCCTCGAAACTTCCACTTGCCCACTCGCATTGGGCGAGTGGAAATAAGGTGGGGGCGAGCAGCGCCAGGACTAAGGGTGTGTGGGAGGGGTGGCGGTGACAAGCAGTGATCTCCCTGTATGGCTTTCAATGAAGCAGCTGAAAGCCGCAGGAGGAAGAGGAGGAGACGCGGCTTCAAGCTGCGTGATTGAAAGCCATACAGGAGATCGCAGCTTGTTACCGCCCCCACCACTGCACTGATCATCCCCGAACGTTACGTTTCTCTCTACCCACCCACCCCTGCCTCGCTGTGTGCTCCTTGGTGCCCAGCCCCTCCCCCTATCCTTTGTATCAATAGGAGAAGAGGGGAAAGAGGCTGGATCTGCTCTGCCTCACCCTGTGCCCCCGCCCACACTCCAGTCCATGCAGCTTCAGAGGATGTGTGGGCAGGAAACTGAAACACAGCACAGCAGCCGACAGCTCTGATGCTTTTGACTGAATCATGTGCGAGTCCCACCTTCCTTCCACACACCACACACCCCTCCTTTCCTTCTACCTCTCCCACCCATCTCTTCCTACCTCCCTCTCACCCCTCCCTTCCACCCCTCTCCCCCTTCCCTCTCCTCCTTCCACCCCTCTCCCCCCTTTCCTCCTCCACCCCTCTCCCCCCTTTCCCCTCCACCCCCCTCCTCCCCCCTTTCCCCTCCACCCCTCTCCCCCTTTCCCCTCCACCCCTCTCCCCCTTCCCCCTCCACCCCTCCCCCCCCCCCCCCCTCCACCCCTCTCCCCCCTTCCCCCTCCACCCCTCTCCCCCTTCCCTCCACCCCTCTCCCCCTTCCCCTCCACCCCTCCACCCCTCTCCTCCTTCCCCTCCACCCCTCTCCCCCTTCCCCTCCACCCCCCTCCTCCTCCCCTCCACCCCTCACCCCCTCCCCCCCCCTCACCCCCTTCCCCTCCTCCACCTTCCCCTCCCCACAAAAAGGCGGTGGTGGCAGTGTGAAGGGTTAATTGTGTAGTTAACCTGACCCAGTAATAATCACTCTCAGGCTGCAGGTACATAGATTGTGGTCCATTAGCTAGAAAATCTTTGTGCAGGGTGCAGCTAAGAATGGCATTGTTACGCACGTGACAGCGCGGTTTTAGATTGGCTAGTCTTTCGGTCACGAGTTCGTGAGAAAGGCTGGGGGTCTGACGCCGTGATCGTCACAGGTGTATTGTAACACAGAGACAGAATAGCAACAAAAAATTAAAAAGAAATACATGTCTACCAAATTATGCACGGATTTGCATGTTCATGAGGGAAATATTTGATGCCCTTCACAAAACATGATTTAGTACTTGGTGGCAAACACAGAGGTCAGACGTTTCCTGTACTTGGTCATCAGGTTTGCACACATCTCAGGAGGGATTTTGGCCCACTCCTCTTGGCAGATCCTCTCCAAGTCATTAAGGCATGGTGGCTGACGTTTGGCAACTCGAACTTTCAGCTCCCTCCACTGATTTTCAATCGGATTAAGGTCTGGAGACTGGCTAGACCACTGCAGGACCTTAATGTGCTTCTTCTTGAGCCATTCCTTTGTTGCCTTGGCCGTGTGTTTTGGGTCATTGTCATGCTCGACCACCCATCCATGACCCATTTTCAATGTCCTGGCTGAGGGAAGAAGGTTCTCACCCAAGATTTGACAGTACATTACCCCGTCCATTGTCCCCTTGATGCAGTGCAGTTGTCCTGTCCCCTTAGCAGAAAAACACCTCCAAAGCAGAATGTTTCCACAACCATGTTTGACAGTTGGGATGGTGTTCTTGGGGTCATAGGCAGCATTCCTCCTCCTCCTCCAAACACGGCAAGTTGAGTGGATGCCAAAGAGCTTGATTTTGGTCTCATCTGACCACAACACTTTCAACCAGTCCTCCTCTGCATCATTCAGATGTTCAGTGGCAAACTTCAGACAGGCCTGGACATGTGCTTTCTTGAGCTTAGGGACCTTGCGGGCACTGCAGGATTTTAATCCTTGACAGCGTAGTGTGTTACCAATTGTTTTCTTGGTGACTGTGGTCCCAGCTGCCTGGAGATCATTGGAGATCATTGACAAGATCCTCACGTGCATTTTTAGGATGATTCCTCACTGTTCTCATGATCATTGACATTCTACGAGGTGAGATCTTGCATGGTGCATCAAACCTAGGGAGACTGACAGTTGTTTTGGGTTTCTTCCATTTGCAAATGATTGCACCAACTGTTGTCACCTTCTCACCAAGCTGCTTGGTGATAGTTTGGTAGCCCGGTCCAGCCTTGTGTAGGTCTACAATCTTGTCCCTGACATCCTTGGACAGCTCTTTGGTCTTTGCCATGGTGGAGAATTTGGAATCTGATTGTTTGATTGCTCCTGTGGACAGGTGTCTTTTATACAGGTAACAAAATGAGATTAGCAGCACTCTCTTTAAGAGATTGTTTCTAATTTCAGCTTATACTTATTTCCCTCATGAATATGCAAATCAGTGCATTTGCTAGGCATGCATTTCTTTTGAATATTTTGTTGCTATTCTGTCTCTCAGTGTTATAATACACCTACCATTCAATTTTTAGACTGATAATTTCTTTGTGAGTGGGCAAACATTCAAAATCAGCAGGGGATCAAATACTTTTTTCCTTCACTATACACACATACATATATATAAATACATACACACATATATATATACATACACACACATATATATATACATACACACACATATATATATATACACATACACACACATATATATATACACATACACACACATATATATATACACATACACACACATATATATATACATACACACACATATATATATACATACACACATATATATATACATACACACATATATATATATACATACACACATATATATATATATATACACACACATATATATACACACATATATATACAGTCATGGCCGAAATTGTTGGCACCCTTGATATTTTTCCTGAAAATCAAGTATTTCACACAAAAAAGGTATTGCATTAACACATGTTTTGCTATACACATGTTTATTCCCTTTGTATGTATTGGAACAAATATAAAACAGAGGCAGAAAAGCAAATATGACATAATGTCACACAAAAACCCCAAAAATGGGCTGGACAAAAGTATT